AAAAAAGTTACCGCCTACAGAAAGTGGTTAACCTAAGCAAAAGAAATGCAAGAGATAGAAAACATAAGACGCTTTCGGAAAGCTATTAATTTAATTAACATTTTGGTATAAAACAAATATATGATTATTTCATATTATCATTTACTAAAAAACTATTTCAATAATAATACTTTGGTCTTATAGCCATATGTACATATTTGAGCGAGTAATAATATCCACGCCACGCTTGCCACACCACACCTTTGGCCAACTGATCCTTCGGAAGTTCTCCTCCTAAATACCTACCGTTTAGATTGCTGATAATAAAAAAAATAATACATAATTTTATATGAAAACTCCATATGATAGAAAATAATACATGGATAAAAAAAATAGTAATATTACCTGACATGACATTTTTGATACCACCAAGCTCCGGTATATAGTATTGCGCAGTTATCACTATTCTTGTCATTATGACTATCTTTAGTTGTGAATTTTTCCCCGCGATGGGTAGAGAAGGAGTCACCGGCGGTGCCTGAATATTGCCCAAGCGCAATTAACTCATATTTATCCTGAGCACTACCAATGGCGAAACTCTCGTACTTGGCAGAACGTTTCTCATTTTGAAAATCCTCTAATTCAAACCAAAGCTCATGGGCTCGCGAATGTGTCAACGCATGTATTTTATCCATCCGAGAAAGAAATTGGCATTCAAATCGCCGAAACCGTGTTCATACTCGAACCACCCACGCTAAAAGTCGGTGTCGTTGCTTTGTCGACGTTGAATTATAGTTCACGGTTCACCGCCGTTGGGATCACGAAGGCAATAAAAAAAGAAAGTGTGATGAAGGTATTCAGGCAGATAAAGTTCATAAATGCCACTCTCTGCATATCTCCCGTTTTCTTGACGCATCGCTTCGGTACAAGAAGATGACTTTTTGCTGCTTCTAATTTTTTCTTATCTTCATTCCTAAAGTAAAAATTTGTAATTTGTACGATTGTATATGAATTGTGAAATAAATATTAGCTGCTTACAACTTCGCTGTAATTTTCGATTCTAATAATTCCAGATTCGTCTTTACTTTACGTAGAAGCTGCTCCTTTATTGCCATTAACTCACTTTGCAAGCTTAGAAATAATCAAAAATAAAAGCAAAACTTCGAAGTCATATTTATGTTCATTAAATAAATTAGTCCTTACCGTAGATTATAGTTTTCTAATTTAAGACTCAAGTGCTCCAATAAATCGTCATCACAAATATAGGTGACAAATGGCTAAATAGAAAACACACAAAAAGAAATTTTAATATTTTTATAAATTATTTTATAAATAATATTTTTTATTTAATTAAGGTTTAATACCGCATCATTGGCGCTACTTTGAGAAGGTGTCGAACAATTCACCGAATACCAAAGATGTCCACACAAAATTGTCCAAACGATCAAACGATGCGCCATTCTCCGCAATTTCAGTCAAACTGAATGCGAAATTGATGATTGCGTTGTAAATACTCGCACTTGAGTGAAAAATTGTCTTGTTTTTATAAATTTATTACTTTATCGAAAATCATTTTGTTATCAAATCTGTGTATTCATATGTATATATTTAAAAATTGCACTACTGAAGTGGTACCTTGCAGGTGCAGAAGCGTAGTCTTCGGTTCATTATCGATGTTTAAGTATGCACTCAAATACATGGGAAACGGCTGAAATTCGCGGTAGGTCCGATAATCTCCTAGCCTCACCGCTTCGATGACGCCACTATCGAAAGCGAAATTTTATAGAATGCTCCTGTCAACAGTTGAAACAGAAAGTGAAATGAAAAGTGATGCTGTATAAAATATAGACTCGGCTGGCCCATTGGCGAACTGTCAAAAATTGGATTAAAGAATTTATAGGTGGTCGCACGTCTGACAACAAGTGCAAACGTGAGACCACTTCACACTGGTGGACCTAGAAAAAAGTGATATTCCACTATAACAACGCATCGACCCGTACCTTCACTGTCAACACTGCCAAATTGGTCGTATGAGAAAACGAAATTCTACCCCTTACCGAATAACTTTTATTTCCAAACTTGAAAAAATCACTCGCTGAACAGAAATGTGAATCGAATGAAGAGATTATCAATGCAGATTATCAAAACGGACTTCTACAATACTTTGCAGACATGACTTAAAGAAGAATAATTGTCTATAAGAGAATATGGATGCAAAAATAATACAAGCACATAAGTAATTCTAACTTCGCTACTTCGTTCAATATATAAATATTTATAGTAGTTATATGAGAGTTTTTAGTTTTTTGTATGAATTCAATACTGTTTTTTTTTGATTAGTTATTGCCGAATTTAATTTCAATTCCGCACAGTCAATCAAATGCAACTCCTAATAAGACCTAAGAGATCAAACTCATTTAACTATTATACAAATGCAAATATATAATTAAGTTTCATTTCCACAATTTCAGTCAAACTGAATGCGAAATTGATGACTACATTTTAAGTATCCGAACTTGGGAGAAACCCTTTATTTAATTACAATGATGAGCTGCTGAATTAAATGTTTGTGTATATATTTATTTGCATTGATCATGCTCGCCATAGGGCAAGATTTCACGACTGTGTCTAGAAGCAGAATTAGCTAAAAACTTGGATTTCCAGACTATTATCGACGCATTCGCAGCCGTCAAAGCTCGAAAAGCCTACTTCTAAGTTCCAAGTAATAGGAGGGGGATTTTAAACTGCATGTTCAAAAACTTAAACAACAACAACTTAGTCAACATATTTCATAAGAACCGTTTTTTCATGGATTAGGTCGATAAATAAATGTTTGAATGAGTCTCCCTTCATATTAACTGTCAAGTCTTGCTGTCTCTATATTCATATATTCTGGTATAATCTGAAAAAATATCTTTGAGTGAAATGTATGTATGAACTAACTTATACATTATTGACTTTCAAAATCATACAAAACAAATTGTTCCACCCAACATTAAAAAGAAAGAAAATTTAACACAGATGTGATGAGAGCATAAAACTCTACGTCGTATTTGACTTATCATTCAAAAACATTGAGGTAGTAAGTGGGAATATAGTTAATAAAATGTATAAAATATTAGAAACATTTCTGTATGGAGGTGGCGCTCCCCTTTTTACCCCTGTGTCCGGTTTTTATTTCGGCGGACCTGCGTATAAACCATAAATATCACAAACCACCACCACGACGTCGGCAGACCGTCCGATCCAAATACATTTCTTAAATTTGAACTCATGTGCAAAAATGACAATATTCTAGATATTACAATTCTTGCTCACATACTACTTGGTGAATGCAAATCGATGTGTTGGTCTTTTTTTGGTTATAAATGGCTTGTGAAGCTGTGAGATTAATTCTTTTCATTCAGTTGATATTCCACCCTGACGAACTAACGAAGTTAAATAAAAATTTTGCGTAATCTTTACTCTGAACAAACACCTACAGTTTTAAAATCTTGAAAATACGCAACGTAGTTTTTACGATGGAATCAGAGGGGCGTGCTATATTATGATATATAAAATCGGACGAAACCATTAATGGGGAACCCTACCGCAAATCCGGAATCCACAAATTGGCAGTAAGATGAAAAATGTTAAAGCTTCGGTTTGGCAAAACTGTGAATAAAGCTATTATAAATATTTTTCTTAAATAAACGTTCAACATTTGAAAAAAAAACCATGATTATATAGGGTGATCCATTTTAAGGCTCCCTACTTTTTAAAAACAGAAGGCAGAAAATTAATACTAACGGGAAATGTTTATTATCATTCGAAAGAACATTCTTTGGTATTTAACTTTTGAAGATTATCTCTTTCAAATGTTGGTCGCGGCTACGTCTCAGATGGCCAAATGTCGCCGAGATCCCGAGCTTCATATTCAGGCATCATATAGTCGGTTATCATTGCGCGATAACGGTCGCCATTGATGGTTACATTTTCACTGGTATCATTTTGTAGAAATATAAACCGATAATTCCACCGGCCCACAAACCACACCAAACCGTTGTTTTTTCTGGATGAAATGACAGCTCTTGAATCTCTTCAGGTTGCTCTTCTTTCAAATGCGGCAAATTTGCTTGTTTACATACCCATTGAGATAGAAATGGGCCTCATCGCTGAATAAACCGAATTCTTGCGTCGTTTTATAACTAATGATGAGACTTGAATCTACCACCATGATCCTAAATTGAAACAAAAACATTTGCAGTGGACTGAAGCTGGTTGTTCAGCTCCAAAGCAAGTGAAATCACAACGATCAGCAAAGAAGGTTATGACATCGGGTTTTTGGGATACGAAAAAGAATTTTGCTCATTGACTATCTGCCGAAAGGTAAAACAATCAACTCTGAATATTATTGCAGCCTTTTGGATCAGCTGGATTAAAAAAAAGGTGAGAAAAGCTCTGGTTTGCAGTACAAAAAAATCATTTTTCTTCAAGACAATGCACCTGCTCACAAAGGTGTTTTTACAGGGACAAAATTCAGCGAATTAAAGTACGAATTGGTTGAGCATCCATCGCATTGATGTTAGACGATGAATATCTCGTAAACGCTTAAATTGTAAAATTATAATTAAAATTTTCTATAAGACTCTGAGCTTTGCATTTTAAAATTACTTTTTTTCATATATTGTAGTTATAAAATTCAAAACAAAAGACAAATTTGCCACAAAAAAAAATTTACAATAGTCAAACTTCAACCGTTTATATCATTTAAATATTAAGTGTAGAAAAAAAATCGTAAGAGACAATTTTGTAGAGCATTCCATTTTATACAAAATCTATAAAGCGAAATGTGTTTTCAAGTAGTTGGAAGCGAGATATGAATTTTTCTAACTAATAATCCCGTTACAATTAAGAGGTCATACTCAAAAGCTGTCTATGAACCAATTTTTCAGAGTACGAAGCAAACAAAACATTTTTTTTACCCACACTAATATCCATACCATCCATCCAACACATAAATAAATACACATTTTTATATATTTATTTTTAGTTATTTTCAATAATATTTCATTTATTCATATAATAATTTCATGTGTTTATGTAAGTGCTGAATGTTATTCAATGCTCAGAAGTACATTTGTAGATTTGTTGTTTTTTTTTAATTGTAGATTATGAATTGCTATGCCTTAGATGTAGTAGTTGGCGAGTATACACCGCACGAACATACACACATACATAGGTAATGATAACATAGATTTGCGACTTTTCTCGTATATTTGTGTAAATCCGCGCTCACTTCATTAACAAAACACAAAATTTTCTTTTTTTCTTTTGCATGTATATATTATGTATATTTGAATAATTCTTCAAAAAATAAAAATACTATTTTAACAAAACCAAAATAGAAAAAACTGTTATATGTTACATACATAAATAAATATATGCATTTATATACACATATAAATATATGTATATAGTATGTATAGCATAACGCTCCCTACTAATAGGCGTGTATAGGTAAATTGTAATAAATTTACATACACATGTATATAAATGTTTCAACTTGAACGTGAGTAATTTTTTATTATGCTTCATAATTACTTTGCACTAAATATGTATTTAAACTCTTTTGCTACAACGATACTGTTTGTGACTCAAATTTGTAAGTTCTAATTGAGTTTGCTAGTGTGTTGGTGGCGAAGCAGAGTGCACATAAGGTACTTGCCACGCCACACACACACACACGCAAATGTGCTGTAAATTTTTATATTTTTTTTTTACTAGACACTATAATTTTTATTATAATTTTTATTGTTGTTGTTAATTAAAATTTAACAACTATCAGTAACGATACGTCTATAACCTTGCAAAGCGTGTGCTTGTACTAACTTATTTGTTGTATTAAAAAAAAATCATATCTTTATGTGTATATAAATAAAATATTTACAGCGCTTTTTTTATATATTAACTGTAAAATTATAGCGATTAACTTTACAGCGGCGCACAAACTACTGCTTAAGGGTGCTAGATACTGTGTATAGTGTTAGACTTAGTAACTTAAAGGTAAGTATGTATGAAATAGAAATCGTTTGTTAATTAATAAACTTAATAATTCAATGCTTATATGTTTAGAAAAAAAATCTTAAAATTACTTATATTTGTATTTGTAGTGAAACAGTGTAAACATAAACGCTCGTTCATTGGTATAAATCATTGCTTGCGCGCTTTTGAGTTTTTATTTCAATATTTTAATTTTTATTTTAATTTTGTAAAATTTGCCTTATTCAATTTGATTCATTCATTACTAATCCTCAGCTTTCATTTTTTAATATATTTGAATAAAATAAATAAAAACATTAAAAAAATACTGTAAAAAAATTAATATGATTTCATTGCATTAATTGACCAAAGTGTACTAATAAAAAATTTTTCACACTAAATTTAATAAATTTCGATTGCAGCACAAAATTTGCCTAAAATTAACGATTTGCTTTAGCGCATTAACTAACTGACAGTTTTACCGAGCACATGTGACGCATATGCCACTACATACAACGCAACTTGCAACTTCGCTACTTCGTGCAACATATATAAATATACTATGTGTGGTATATGGTATACTACAAGTATAATGCTTGAGTGTTGATGAGATTTTTTAGTTTTTTGCATACATTTTCCTACTTTTAAATACAGCTGTTATTATTATTAATATTTTTTCTTTAAATATAACTATATTAAATTTTTGGTGTAACTTTTTGTGTTTGTGTTGAATTAACCCATTTCGTTTCTGTCTCGCAATCAACTCCTTACAGCCATGCTCTGTCACCGTTTCAGCGCACATTTACCACAACTATAATACAGTTATTTGTTTTTGTTTTTTGAAGAGCCAAGCTCTTCGGCTCCTCAACTCCCCACACGAGTGTTTGACACGGCACAAAAGGATCCTTACGCATTTCGTTTGCTTGCACCATATTTTAACGTGATTTGCTAAGCAAATACACGCTCTCAATAACTACACACACACACACTCAGATAAACACACACACGCGCACTATCTCACAGCAAGCGTCCTCCATTAGATTGGTGAGATGGATAGTGGCGCTGTTGCGGAATCGGGCATATACTCTTTCAGCAGGTCGCGTAAACGTAGTATCTCCTTGCCGGCGGCAGCTAAATCGCCTTGCAGCGAGAGTTCGCGCTCACGTAAACGTTTGATATCGCGCTGACATGTCTGCGTATAGAGAAGAAGAAGCATACGTTTTACTAAACGATTTTAGTGTCGAAATAAGTGCATATTCAACTTACCACATTCTGTCGGAGCAAATCCAATTTGTCGCATTTGAGTCGTGTGACCTCTTGCCGCAAATTCTCCACCATCACAATTGTTTCGTTGCTTGGCGATGAGCCCATTAGGCTTTGTGAGCCATCCAGACATAGCGCACAGGCCGCTTTCGTCGATGACATGGCTTCGGCGGAAGACATCGATTCCAGTCCGGTGTCACTGTCGATGTAAACGGCACCGCCATCTATATGACCCATCATCGGATCGAGATCTACGCTATTCAAACTGGAGTCATCGCTGGTTTCGGACATTGTGGCCACGCCGGCGCCACCGTTGACTGGTGCTGAGGCGTTATTGCCGTTCTGCATATCCTTGGCTGAAGCTACACCGCCCAAATTTGCGTTATTGTTGTTTATGGTGTTGCTGCTGCTAAGCGGGCCGCGTGAGGTGATATCCGGCGATGAAGAGGTGGAGTCGTTCGACGATTTTGATTTCGAGGAAGATTTCGAAGCGGTGCGACTGCATGCCTAGAGAGATAGATAGATAGGAAGAGAGAGAGATATTGTTAGCTTTTTAGCTTCATAGAAAAACTACACACGCAATATTTACATTCAAATTCGGCGTCTCCGTTAGACTGTTGTCCTTCTTCGAAGTCGTCGACGAGGCGGATGAATTCATCTTCGTTGAGACGCTGAATTTCTCAACGCTGGGTGCTATGTTGCCGGTATCAACACTCTGTGAGCGCACGCGCGAAATGAGTGCTTTCTTTACGGTGTCTATGAAACGCGAACCGGCTGTGCTATTCTCTGACTTTGGTGTTTCTGGTGTTGGGCTGACAGTTACGCCATTCGTGAAATCTGTACCCAAAAAGTCACGCGTTTTCTCCTTCAATTCCTCCACTAGACTTTGTAAGAGCGAGGTACGCGTGCGCAATTCTAATTGCGCGAATTTCTCTGCCTTATAGCAGGCATTCTCAGCATTGATCAGTTTGGTCAGTATAAACTCTTTGAAGTCTTGGCCTTTGCGAAAAACAGCTGGATTGGGTAGTGTCGGTCCGAAGAACGGTACATCGTCACGTGCTGTCACACTGACCTTGTAGCGTGTATTCGGAGTATTTGGTTCTAGCGGTTGTACTACGATAAAAGCATGTAGAAAATGACTGGCGATCATGTCGGGTGAGAAAGGCGTATTCGATTCCTGGAATACGATCGCGACAATATCATTGCCGATATGTCGTTTGCGCTGCAGCTGTTGTGGATCACCCTCGGTGTAGGGTAACATTGTCGAAACGTGAAACATGATTTCGCGTTCCTTGAACACTTCATATATGGCGGTGTCGCCAGTGTGTCCATTCTGTATATCTAGACCACCACGATAGCCCTTGTGATCCTTCAATTTTATACGCTGACCTAAAACATCTAGGAATTCCTCAAATGCGGGCGATGAATTGTTGTTGCTAAAAAGTTCCTCCTCCGTAGTTTGTCCATATCTTTGGTATAGCACACCGAATTTAAAATTCGAGACCAACACATGCTCATCATATGCGGCAATCAATTGTGATGCCTTCGAACACAACACCGGTACAAAGTTCTCCACAGTAATTTGCTCATTTAACAGTCGAACAATTTTACCGGGTGTCGGATTGGGTGCCATACACGACATAGGTATTAGTTCATGCATTGTACCGGTACGAAGACGCAACAGTATGCGTGCATGTTCTTGATTTGCTACATTCTCTGTTTTAATTGATATCAATATCGGTCCAAGTAGATCATCTTGACCTACAAGATTCGAGTGTTCGCGCGCCGCATAAAAACGACGATAACATTTTGCCGTATCGTCTGTCTCGAATTTGGCCATCCAGGTAGTTTGCGGCAACATCGGATTGCCACGCGCATCAAATGAGCATTCATGCTCGGTGCCATCTACCCAGTAGCCGCCGTTCAATGGTAAAATAATCATTGGATATGGTGCGGTCTTGGCGAGCGCATCCTCCAACAGACGTTGTGAGGCAGGTATAGTGGACACAATCGAAGATTGTGAGGTCTGTGAAGATACCGACGATTGTGACTGATAATGCTGGCCATTAGAGAGTAACTGATTGGCAACGCCAACACCATTTCCAGTGCCTGAAACCAGGCCACCAATGCCACTTAGTTGTGGTGAAGCAGGTGTGGAATTCGCGGCTGTCGTAGACATTGAATGTCGCAGTGTAGAGCGCGAGCCGGAGTGTTGCAGACCATTGTGGTGAGTAAAGTTGCCAGATTGGGTGCCTTCGTGCGGGTGTGGTACACGTTCGTCATTCGAAGTGCGATGGTGCGCCTGCAAGTAAAATAGAAAAGGAAATTAATGAGTATTATTTTTGGAAAATATTGAAATTATTTTTTGTTGCTTTGGCATTTCTTCAGCTGTCTGAGCTCTCTACAATAGCTTTCGCTAAGTACTACTACGGTCAGTGGGTCGAAATGTTAAGCCCCTGTGTGTATTTTTTTTTCACTTATTATCTCCTATATTTTGGTCCAGATGCGGCAGAGAAATACTTCCGGGACCGGCTTGAACTGAATGTCGAACCCGATCAGTAAGATATAGAACCTTTCTACTAGGCGTTGCTCCAAAAATGACACAACTATTTTGTTACTCTCCGATTCGAACAGGAATACATCCCTGTAAGGACAGCCCAAGGCCGGATTAATTCAGTGTAAATTCTGATAACGTAAAACCGAAAGTCGCGAGACTTTTTTGCGCTAAGTTCTCAAAAAAAAGGAAAAATATATCACCTAGTCTATATCCGATCACAAGTTGTTCTAAAGAGCACAGACTGCTTGCGACAAAGTGCGACTATGGCAATATCTATATAATATATCTTCCGACCCAATAAAACCATGTGTGTCGCTTAAACCAATGTAATGATTATTTGCATACGATTACCATTCCAAAGAGCGCAGGAAATGAGACATTGGCGACGAACAAGCGCCGCTTGGGGTTGAATAGGCCGCTGGAGCACCATGGCAGGCCAACGCCGTGGGCAGCAGACATTAAGGCAGCATTATATGATTGCAGTGTCATATACATTTGTACCTATGTAGGCAACGGTATATACATAGGAGCGCATGGTAGCGATGGAGGAAGAATCCACAAGAGAAGCATCTACATGTGTGTATGCATGTATGTATGTATGTCATTTATCATTTCCAACCAGCGCGTTGTATGCCTGTTTGCATATTTTAAAATTTGCCTACTCCACAAATACAAATACATTTACATGCATACTTGCATGTAAAACACACGCGAGTATAAATTACATTTGTACGCTTGTAAATAGTGAATTTATATTGCTTGCCCTAACAGGCGCGTTGCATGCATCAAGCAGACAGCGTTGTCGGCAATATACGGAAAGACATAAAGGAATAGGTAAATTAAGCGTTGAAGAGGAGAAGAAGCATTTAGCAGCCGCGGTAGTGGCCGTTAGTGGTAGTGGCAGCGCATTCGCTTTGCTTACAATTTTAAGCGCTAGGAAATGACAGCGCACAAGCCACAATAACAATAATGTTGAAAATGGCGACACATGCGACAAAATATTTGCTGAGGTTAATGATTATTATTGGAAAATATAAATATCTGTGGGTTTGCAAAAATACATAGTATATGCCGTATGGTGATGATTAAACTTTTTCAAATTTCAAAAAAAGGTTCAAATTAACATTTTTCTGGCACGCTACAGTCAATAACGGTTAAATGGTGTTGCACAGTAGTTGAAATTGAGTTTATTTTCCCACATTTTTCCCTTTCGCGGTTACTGCACATTGACATATACCTGACACCCTTTAAGGGATTAGGTCAGCCTCAAAACCGGTCTAACTCTGACAATTTATTTCCGGCGTTAGAAAAAATTAATCGAATTTCCCTCATTCAAGCTTTTTTTAAATATACATATGTACATATATTTGACAACTAAAAGAATTTTATCTTGAAATTTGAAAAAACAAATGGAGGCTAGTGAGGAAATCTTTAGACACACCTCAATCAAGAGCGCTTCAAAGTTGGTACATATTATTTTATTGATTAATTTTTGGAAAGTCCTTAACTGACTTAAACCCATAAAACTTATTGAGTGGAATTAAAAAGGATTTGTTTGCGATCTTCTAATATATTTATGGCTACGTAAGTATTCGGTTAGTCAGGTTAGTCTGTTAGACAAATAATAATAATGTACAGAGAATTCACATAAAAATTGTCGAATGAGAACCAGCCTAATGTATTATATTCTTACGTATATGGCAGCAATAATAGCTAAGCCGTTAACTGCAAACGGAAGGATTTGACAATAAATTGAAAAATCGCTTATAAAATGTTTACATTTAACTGAAAAGCAACGTACGACAACAACAAAAATACATTAGAAAAACAAACGTACACATTGCAAATTAATAACTTCACAGAAGAAAGCCAATATATTACTTAAAGAAGAGTTTAGACGATTTAACACTCGGCTGAGTTGTTGTAAAATTTTTATATATTTCGAATTATGCCTTAGAACCTTTTTTGATATTTTTTTTCATGCAAACATATAATTTTTAATTTATACAAGTGTAAATAAGAAAATAATACAAATATAAATATAAATAAAATAAGTTTAATAACTAAGATTGCCTTGCAGAATTGCTTAAAATGGAGTTAGGCAGTTACGTTTTTCATAAGAAGAATATTTGTAGAACTGTAAAAGATCATATCAAAGCTTTTGCAGATAGAGTCAAATGAAGTGCAACAAAAAATGCTCTGTTATACATACAAATGCATAAATATAAACATTGTATGTATGTACATATGTATATACGAGTTTGGTGTCGAACGAATCCTACAATATAATATACGGTGAATTGTGGCAAAGTCTATGTGCTGACACAATTGTCAGTTACAAGCGTTTATTTGCCAATGTTTAGAAATATATACTATATATACATAGATGTAAGCATGTATGTACATATATACATACATATTTGTATGTGTGAGTCTTAATGGCAAATTGCAATACAGAGTCAGTACCGATCGTATATGGCTAGGTATAGTGAGCGTGCCACATATTGTGTATACTTATATAAGTATACAGATACTAATGTATATCTTCCTTCATTAGGTATAAATATGCATGTAGATACAACCATCCGCTGCGACATTTGTTGCCTTTTGGCGCTTATTGTGGCTCATTTGAGTTCAACGCGCTTCACAGACATAAGCATATACATATCTAAACATAACATACAAACGAATATTAGTGGTAACACGTATGTAGGTATGTATGTATTTCAGTTGGGATTATGTCCACATTTGGCCATTTTCCAAAACACACTGTGGCGCGCAGACAAACTCAGCACAACACCCGGAGAATTCCAAGAAGTGCTCCCCAAATGATGTCTTTTTTGGTTGGTGTCGTGGTTATAATTATTTGATTTCCTAGAAATATATACAACAACATGGAGTTGGTGCATGCTTACATATGTAGCAAATTTTATAAATATATACAAAACTACCTATGTATGTATGTATGTAACACTTTTCTGAACGTTGGTAGAAAATGCTGATAGTGAAAAAAAATGTTTGAGAATTTTCTGCTACTGCTGAAGTTTCGATGGTTTCTTTGAGTCTTAAAACGCCAACTGTGTACATTTGGCAACCTTATTCTGGTGTTTCTCATAAATTTTTCGATTATAATCTATTTTGTGGAGCTCAAAGGTGAAATACATACATATGCAAAATTTTCATAAAGATATTTTTTTTTGTCTTCGAAAATTTTTCGTTTACAAAATTTTCAATTATACATACACATGACAACTGACAAGCACTGAATCGTGTTACTCTACAAATGGTTTACAAATTATAATAGCTAATAGACACACAAATATTGATAACAGCCAATAAATTGCTTGATGGCGTCCGTTGTTGCCGCGCTACCACTGTGAGCGTCTGAAAATCTATTGCTGAATATATTATATATGAATTCATATCCAATGAACTCTCAATAAAAGCTTTGTTTATATGGTCGAAAATGTGAGTGGAATACGGTATTAACATGTGAATGAGGCTAAAAATGTTGAAAAGGTATAAGAAAATTTATTTATAATCGCTTGAAGCTTTGAAGTCTCACTTGTACTAAATTTGGGTCGAAAAGCGAGTATTTAAATGGCAACAGCTTATAAGCTAACTGATATAAAAAAAAAAATTATTGAACTGCAATATTTATATGTAATAATTTTAGTTTGCTGCATTATGTTCTTCGAATGCTTGAATTAAATGCAATAACTGTATTGTTTTAGCGAAAATTTTGTTAGCTGTATTTTATTCTTCAAATAACTGGTATAAAAATGGTATATGTAGCATGAAAATATAATATGAATGTTTATACCAGTTGCTAAAATTTATATGTTCATTTTATTTGCATTAAATTCAGTAATTGCTGTTTTCGCCAATAAAATTTAAATTTTTGATAGCTAATAAGCTAACTGGTCTAAAAAATTTAAGTTTTAAATGAGTAGATGAGTTCATAAAATGGCATTATGTCTTCGGGAACAAGAAATATGGCAAAGTGGATATACAACTGGCATAAATGCAATGACTGACGTAATATATACAATATAAATTTTTTATACCAGTTGGTGAGGTATGTATGTTCATATTTAATTGTATTGAATGCAGTAGTTGCATTCACACATACAATTTTAAATCTTTGAGCCAATAAGCTAACTGGTCTAAAAAAGTTTAAGTTTTGATAGAACAGCAAGAGTTTCAGATCATGTCAATATTTTTTCGAGACCTTGATATGTGGAAAGTCTAATTCAAAACTGGTATAAATACAATAACTGGCACAATCCACATATAACTGGTATAAATAAATTAACAAACAATAAATATCCACATTTAATACCAGTTAAGTTAAGCGTAAAATTAAAATTTTGACAAAAGAACACAGCTCAAACTCGGCTTAGTCTACTCTAAATAATAAATTTCTACTCCGTTTGAGGCACAGACTATACTATATACATACTATATTTATATATACTTATCTGTCGCTTCAAAGTTTTAGGCCGAAAAGCAAATAATTGCACCAGGCCATATCACACCCACACCCATTTAATTGCAGACAAAGGAAAAAGTTAAACAAAAACCAAATCTTTATTGTTGTTGGTGTTGCTGCACTTTCGCTTTTCGCTGGGGATGAACTTGTTTGTTTGCCACCGCCAACAGCGTGTGGTAATGAAGAGGCGTTTTACTGTCTGCAATGGTATGAACGCATTTCGCCCTAACTAACGAGTGGGGCACGAGCGCAT